GAATGAAAATGATGGGTCATGGGTAGGATTAGATACAGCCAGTTTTCCAAGATTACTGTACCATTTTACATTCCTACCAAAACATTTAAGAGATCCTGTGGCTCCACATCCTTGCCAAGAAAGCCACTGTCTTTCATTTTAGCCATTCCAAAAGGCAGACAGTAGTATCTCACTGTTGTTTTTTTCATTATTATTATTTTTTCCATTTATTTTTATTAGTTGGAGGCTAATTACTTTATAACATTGCAGTGGTTTTTGTCATACATTGAAATGAATTAGCCATGGATTTACTGTTTTTTTTCATTATTGTATTAATTAATTTGCATTTCTCCACTGACTGATGTTGAACACTTCTCTATATGCATACTGGCCACACAGAGAGTCTCTTTTACCAAGTGCCTATTCAAAACTTTTGTACATTTTTAAATAAAACTGTCTTTTTCTTATTAAGTTTATATAATATACATACATCTGCCAGATGGATTGCCATTTTCTTCTTCCAATCTGTAGTTTGCCCTTCATTCTCTTAATGTTATGTTTAGATGGAGAAAAATTCTCAATTTTAACAAAGTCTGAAGTCAAATGTGTCAATCACTGTTACAGTCATTGACTTAAGTCTTTTTAAAGAAATGCATGCCTGCTCTACTCAGTAGTCCTTTGATTTCTGATTTCTGCTTACGGTTCGAACAGCTCTCGGCCTTGCTCTGAATTCACGAATTCCTGCACCTTGGCAAGGCTTACAGTTTCACCACATGGCTGATTTCAAATGCATTCATGTTATGTTGTTGGTGATAAGACAACTCTAGTATCATGGAAGTTTGAGCAGCTGTCAGTTTTACAACTAGAGAATTTATTTGTGACTACATTCGTAATATGACTTCTGTACCAATATATTAAAACATAATGTTAAAAAAAGGGGGGAACACCCTCTAACACTTGTTATTCTAATATTTTACTTCAACCATACCTTCTTCCCATTCCCTTTGAGTGGCTTTCCTTCAATGGGTCACTTTACACTAGACCCTACTGTCTTCAAGGATATAATTAAAAGTTCTCTAATCTCAGAAATCAGAAGCCTAGAGGCTTCTGTTAAACCTGGTTCTGTTACACTTTATGTAACCCAGCACCTCAGAGGGTTTACAGGCTTCCCAAAACCCAGTAACAAAGAACTCCTTGCTCCATCCTTTTCCCTAAAATTTTTAACAGTATTTCCGATCTCTAAGCATATGGTTACCCAAAACACCCCAAATATAACACCTTAGTCTTACCTTCACTCCCTCAGCAGGTGCTCCCCTCCCCACCCCACTATTCTTCACACCCAGCCCCTCACAAAGTGTGAGGTGGACTCTGAACTTTGCCGTCACAGTTAACGCCCTGCCTCACTCCCTCACCGTCTCCGGTCAGGAGTATGGAACCTGCCCTTAACTGGTTTCTTCCTTACATTCTGTCTTTGACCCTGCCATCACCAAAGTTCCCTTTACAGAGCATAAAGTTGGTCATGTTACTCATCCTTCTATAGGTCCCACTGCCCACAGGATAAAATCACTCTCTCAGCTGAGAATTGATAATCTGGCTCTGACCTTTCCTGGCTTCTTTCTCACCAACTTTTGCAAAACTCTGGCCTGACTACTGGGCACTCATGCCCTCTCAACCCAATTTGACACTGCCTCCTCCTTTGCCTAAAGCTCTTTCCCCCTCTACCTTGCAATCAGCTCCCCTTCTTTCTTGCACAGGACCACAGCAGAAGTGACTGTTACCTGGTGTGCATTCCTGCAGCTCTCTGTACCCACCACAACAATACTGGAGTCCTTACCACCTGCATTAGTGAATCAAACTTCTTTGTCTCACTCAGGATCAGCAATTAATCTTTATGTCCCAAGGGCTTGGCAGGGCAATTCCATGAAGGCTCAATGAAAGAATGAATATCCCAGCCACTTTTATTCATGTTACATTTTTTTAATAAACAGAGACTAGAAAAATACATCAAAGCAATGAATCTTAACACCTAACACAAATTATGTTGTAAAAGTCATCTGGCAAAGTATTCAAAAGAGTTTAATAAAAACTAAAACCTTCTTCAATTATTGATTTGTGCTTCCTCTTAGAAATCAGTAACAGGGAGGGGGGACCGGGATGGGGAATACATGTAAATCCATGGCTAATTCATTTCAATGTATGACAAAAACCACTGCAATGATGTAAAGTAATTAGCCTCCAATTAATAAAAATAAATGGAAAAAAAAAAAAGAAATCAGTAACAACCCTGTTTTAAAATACTATAATGGACATCAAAGGTGGGATGACTATATCACTTAACCAAAGTAACTGTAGTCATGTCATCACCATATAAATCACTACTGGATGCCAATGGAATGAATCAGTCATTATTTACACAACTAAAAGACCACACACAAAATTACTTCATTGAAAGCCTGTTCATATATATCCCCTTAACACATTAACGTCTGCATGTTACAGAAGATAGTATGCCCAGTGGCTAAGAACACAGCTTGGCACCATGATGCTAGTAGTGAAATTTGGGGAAAATAACTTAAAAGTTCAATGTGTCTCAGTTTCCTCATCTGTAAAACAAAGATGATAAAGTACTCACTTCACAATGTTGCTGAGTGAGTGAGCCCATATAAGGCTCCTGAAACAGTTTCTATGTTAACTGTCATCACAGTGCTTTTAACCTTTTTAAGTCCTTTTACCTATACTTTTTTTTTTTCTCCTGACAACAACACAGAGATATTGCTTAGAGGAGAAACGCGTTGTCCATGTCAAAGATAAGGTAATAAGGAAATAATGATTTCCCTAAGATATTTTCAGTGGCAGAGTAGAAACTGTGCCTAACTCCAGCCCAACACCAAATCTCCACGGATGCAGTGTGGAAGAAAGTCTTTTTTGGGTTTTTCCCCATTGTTTACCCTTGGTCCTCAGCAACATCAACAGCCTGACTAAGCACCTGGTGGGAAGAAATGGACCATCATTTGCTCAAATTAGAACAAGGAAGACGCCTCATTTTCACAGTGCCTGATGCACAGCAGGCACTCCAAAGATAACAAATGAAAAGTGCCACTGTGCTCTCTCTCAATAACGGAACAAGGCACTCCACCAAACCAAGACTGTTACCAAAACCAAAAATCACTTAACCTGCTTTTCTGTCACATGAAAGTATATTTCATGCAATGTACAATAGGAGCTTTTTTAAAAACAGGGGGGAAAATTAAATTAATATTTTTCTTTTACTCTCAAAAGATACAACAGTTTTGTAAAAAGGACTTTCATCAAGACAGTTTTTTTTTTTAAAACTAACCCAACCTAACTTGGCACTGCCTTCTCCTTTGCCTAAAGCTCTTTTCCCCCTCTACCTTGCAATCAGCTCCCTTTCTTTCTTGCACAGGACCACAGCAGAAGTGACTGTTACCTGGTGTGCATTCCTGCAGCTCTCTGTACCCACCACAACTATACTGGAGTCCTTATCACCTGCATTAGTGAATCAAACTTCTTTGTCTCACTCAGGATCAGCAATTAATCTTTATATCCCAAAGACTTGGCAGGGCAGTTCCACAGCAGGCTTAATGAAAGAACCAGTGTTACCTTTTTATTATAAATAGAAACTAGAAAAATACATCAAAGCAATGAATCTTAATACCTAACACAAATTATGTTGTAAAAGTCATCTGGCAAAGTATTCTTTTGAAGAGTTTAATAAAAACTTAAAACCTTCTTCAGTTAATTACTTGTGCTTCCTCATATATCATGACAAGTCTTTGCTCAAATAAGGGACTGAGAGGAATGGACAAAATTTCGTTTCTGTAAGACCTGCACAGATAGTCTATCTTTATGACATTCCTGAGCTTAAACTGAACGTCAGTCTGACACTGAGCAGGGCCCTGTGGGGCTCCTGGGCATGGAGGCCTTATTGTGCCCCACTCCTTGTAGGCAAGACTCTGGTCTCCCATGACCTTCTCCGAGTTCCAAAGGGCAGGAGGAACAGCAAGGGAAACCACCTGAGGCAAAGATTAAAGGGAACAGAGAGGCTCACCCAGATTAGGAGACTGACCTGCTGAGACCCTGTACACACCCTCATCTTGTTAGCAAATCCCCCACCCGCCCTTTCGAAACTTATCAGAAGTAAATACATGACTGTTTCTGTCCTGATCCTTATCACACATTGCTGCCTGACTGTATAACCTCTCCTGCTAGCCTACTGTGCTCCTGCTTTGCCTCCTGGCAAAATAATAAAGCCATCCTTTCTTTCTCCTCCATAACTGTCTCCCTATTTCTGTTTGGCTTTGGTGCACAGAGAGCCAAGATTTTGGCAACAAATCCTCAATTGTACATGCATACACGTGCACGTGGAATAGAGCTAAAGAACTTCGAAGGCAGGGGCAATGCCCCCAGGGAACCCACCCGAACCGAGAAAGTACAAGGAGGAAGAATGTCTCCCCAACACCTAAGCGCCCGAACTTTTTACTTCTTCTCTTCCAATGGAGAAGCAGGAGCTCAGACACTCGCCTTAACGATCGGACTTGACATCAGCCCCTCGTTAGGGTCTACCCTTCTTTTCGTGGCACTGCCATTCTGTCACCTACAGACAGGCGCCTGGAGGATACACAGATAAACCAGTTCCAGCCCCTGCCCTCTCCAGCTCACATCTAAGCCTCGCACGTGGCGGCCACTTGGGACCTTTTGCACATCCGATTTAACAGTGACAGGCTGGACTGTGTTCGCAGCCGTGCAGCTCCTGGACCCGCCCAGGTCTGTAGCAGGGACGTGTTGGAGCTCTCTCTGTAAACACCGAGCAAAGCGGCCCATCGAGCCGGCCGAGCGACTCCGTGGCCCCCGACGCCTCCACTAGCCTCCAGGAATCGCTTCCCCGCCTCCTCTCACCTAAGCCGGTGGCACCGCCACCCGCATCCGGACTCCAATTCCCCGTTAAGTGACCGTTACAGGGGGCCGCATCCCCGGGAGGCCCGCGGTCCAGGGAAGAGCCCATGGGACCGCTCCCAATCCGCCGACCGGGGATCCCCCGGCCACCGCCGCCATCTTCCCGGCGCCGGAACCCCCACCTGACGGTTCCAGCTTCTCACCTGTGGCCAGCAGAGGACTACGCGCGACGCAGTGGAGACCGCGTGGGTGAGCTTCAGAATCCGTGGGGGTCACAACCTGGGTGCAGAACCCGCCGCTAATTCATCCCGAAGCAGGAGGCGTCGGGCCCGTCGCCCTAGTAATGCGTCCAGGCAGGCTTCATCCTGATTGGCTGTGAGCGCCATGACGCAGCGGCGTTCCCGGCTGCGTGGGAAGCCCGGGTCCCCGGAGTCCCGCCCCTGCCCCCGGCCTGGGGCTCCCCGGGGCCAGACACTGAGGGCTCCCTTAAAGGGACCACTTTCATTTCTCCATCTGGCCTCCGGAAGAAGAGGGACATAGAGAGCGAGGGGGTGTAGGGGCGAGTAGCAATAAGAAATAGGAAATCTGAAGGTCATTGTCCCTCTAACCCCTAGAGTTTCAGAGTGACAATAGAAATCTGGGGAGCTTTATTTATAAACTGTGTACTGTGGGAAAATATGACCTAAAAATTGAGAACTGAGTTTTCCTGGAGGAACATACTGAGGGCTTAAGCCCAGGAGGCAGCCTCTCATATCGCTCTGAGGGGCTGTTCAGAGAGATAAGGGAGGAGCCAGGATATTTAGGAACTTTTGCAACAAAAACTAGGTTGTGGGAATATTAAAAGATGACTGTTAATTAAAAGCCAGACAGCTTAAATTAATGAAGTTAGCACTTTTCTACCTATGGGAAGATGCAAGAGTCTGGGTTCACTGAAATAGTTCCTCTGACAGGCACCTTAACTATCTGGGGGGAGGAGGGGGGGGAGTGGCTGATGGCCACAACATCCTGTCTTCACTGATATGGCCGGTGATATTCTTTGTCCACAAAGCCTAACCTACAGAGGCAGATCAGTAATAGGACCAGTCCTAGAATTCAGGTTCTTGACGCGCAGCACCAAGCTCTCCCTAGCAGGAAGTTCTCCAGTCAGAGGAAAACTTTACCTCCTCTGAGCATCCCTCTCAGAAGGCTTTCACTGCCACTTTCTGTCCTGGGACATATGTTCCTTAACCTACTAAACTCTAAAGCTCCATGATGGTGGGGGGGCTGCAGTTAGGCCTTTTTTCATTTCCTGCACAGTGCCTTCCTCCTCCTGGTTTTCAACAAAGATTCACTGATTTAAAATCCTAAAAAGAATAAATTTAGCTACCCATCACACACTTAGCCACTTTACCTATGTTTATGTGTTTTGTTCATTTATTCATCAGGGTACAGAGGGGAAAGAAATTTTTTTCAAAATACAGAATTCCTGTCCTCACAAAATGTCTAGTGTAACAATAATGAACATCTCAGTTTGGGATGCATAGCTTCAATATAGCTAAATTATACTCCATTGGAGTTCCCTGGTGGACCAGTGGTCAGGACTTTCTTCTCTCACTGCTGAGGCCTGGGTTTGATCCCTGGTCAGAGAACTAAGATCCCACAAGTCACAGGGTGCCCCAAACAAACAAAAAATTATTCTCCAAACTCTCTGTGAATCAAAAGTTTCCATGTTCGTTTTCTAAAATCAGCTTCACAAACTCTCCAGTTTTATTCAGAAATATTGAAATATTTCAAATGCTGAAATTGTGTTAGAAAATGAAGATTAAACAACAGAGGGAAACACCAATACAAAAGCCAGCTCTATCTATTACCCCTGTGACCTTAAGCCTCATTTTTTTAAAATATAAGATTGCTAGAAAAAAAATTATCTGAAGTCTTACCTCCTCCCCTCATCCCTACAAGTTTTAAAATTTGTTGTTATCAGAGGCCAGGGGGACAATCCTGAAAGACTTGGAGATGGATTTTTGAAAGAAGGGATTATATAATAGTTTATCTTTGCATCTCTGTAAATCCTAGAATAAAAAGTGCCAACTAATGAAGAACTGACTTCTGACATTAAGTCAGAACATTAACTGACTAGATGAATCATCTTGGTTTCTTCTCTGTCTCACTTCCCTAGCCTTAGGAGTTTTTGAGGAATGGAACTGTAGAACCTGAAGGAAAGGGTCAAAACTGTGGAGCCTAAAGGCATTAGCTCTTGTTTACCACGTGTGTGGCTTTTCCACATCAAGATATTCTCCAATGTTCTGTGGACACCCACTGAGTGTCCTGCAAGATAATTCAGTTTTGACACTCACTACTCCAAAGTAGTGCAGACCCCAGAGGTTCAGGGCTTAGTTCTGCAACTCTGCTCCCTACTTCAGATGCCAGTGGGAAGTCTAGACCTTGGGTACTTCTGACAAACTGGCTGTAATTCAGGGCATCCCACAATACCCTGCTCAGGGTTCAGTTTTCTAGAACAGATCACAGAACTCAGGAGAACGCTTTACGTCTGTCTACTGGCTTATTCTAAAGGATACAACTCAGGAACAGTCAAATGGAAGAGAGGCATAGGGCAAGGTCTGGGTTGTGGAGAGGGGACTCAGCTTTCATTCCCCCTCTGGGTGTGTCACCCTCCCAGCACCCCGCTGTTCACACGAACCAGGGAGCTCTCAGAAACTCTGTTGTGTTTTTTTTATGGAGATTTCATTCCGTTCAGTTCAGTCACTCAGTCGTGTCTGACTCTGTGACCCCATGGACTGCAGCACGCCTGGCCTCCCTGTCCATCACCAACTCCCGGAGTTTACTCACATTCATATCCATCCAACCTTCTCATCTTGTGTCATCCCCTTCTTCTCCTGCTTTCAATCTTGGCATAATTAATAAAATCACTGACAGTAATGATTAACTCAGTCCCTGCCCTTGAGGTTGAAGGGTGGAGTTGAAGTTTCAAGCCTCTAATCTCAGGGTTTGTTCCTCTGGCAACCAGCTTCCCTCTTCCCAGAGTCAATTCATTAGCTTAAACACAGGCTCAGAGAGGCTTGTTATAAATACCAAAAGACCCTCCTATCCCCCTTTGAAATGGAGCAGGACTCTGTGGTCCTTCCTCACCATAACTTTCACCTGCGTTTTGTCTGTGGAAAAACTTTAGCCAAATAATAAGATTAATCAGAAAAGTGAGGGAAATGCAGAAACAAAGAAAAACAACCAAAGAAGACCAAATAATAATAGGTTAGTCATTATGCAAAGTCAAGGATATTTATTTCCTTCTTAAGGGCTATAGATAATATTCTGAGCCATATCCTATGAGCTGTTTTATAGATACTGAAACCCCTACCAGGTGGAAGAAGTTAACTACATGATGGCCAGGTTGTAGCCATGACATAAGCTGCCACAATTCTGAGAACTGGCCTCAAGGAACTGGGAACAAACCAACCCTGGAACTAAAGATTAATTGTACTTAATCAAGGTGATGTTGGTCAGACCACCAGTGATCAAGTTCAAATAGCTGTCAGAGCTGACTATGCTGTTTCTGCATATATACCCCGCTCACCTCACTCCCCATCTGTAGGTCTATAAAACTGGTGGTGATTTAGTTGCTAAGTCATGTCCAACTCTTGCGACCCCATGGGCTGTAGCCCACCAGTCTCCTCTGTCTTTAGGGTTTTCCTGGCAAGAATACTGGAGTGGGTTGCCAATTCCTTCTCCAGGGGATCTTCCCGACCCAGGGATTGACTCTGAGGCTTCTGCACTGCAGGCAGATTATTTATCCACTGAGCTACCAGGGAATTCCCTGTCTGTAAAACTGTTAGCCCCTAATTGTCAGAGGGGGAGTAGGCCTTTGGACAGGCATCTGCCCTTCCCCACCCCCCAGTCCCAGCCCATCCAGCGCCAAGTCTAATCGTTGGACCACTAGAGTAGATGCTTTTCAAATGTGTATGTTTCTCTCTCCCAGTTGGTTCAGCCATTCTCCAGAACTGTAATGGGCTGCACTGTGTCTCTTCTTTTGGGTCTTGCCAGACACTCCAGTTGGCCTTTTCTCTACCACAGATACTTCTAGTATCATGAGATGTGTCAAGTGATAGAGCACAAATCGCAGGACTGCTTGTAATGAGGCTGGACCTGCTATTGAGTCCTTTATAGATCTGAGCCCTTCTTAAAACTAGAAACCTTCCACCTTAAACTGAAGAGATCTACCAAGCACTCTTTCTTAGTGGTAGAAGGTAAGTTGTCCTTTACTGTGGAGAAAAATCTCTGGCATGCCTTTGACCATTGGACCTCTTCACCATCCACATAAAGTCTGTGCTCTAGAGAATAGTATTGTACCAAGGTTGGGCTTCCCCCAGTGGTGCTAGTGGTAAAGAACCCACCTGCCAATGCAGGAGATATAAGAGATGCGGGTTTGATCCCTGGGTCAGAAAGATCCCCTGGAGGGCATGGCAATCCACTCCAGTATTCTTGCCTGGAGAATTTCATAGACAGAGGATCTTGCTGGGCTACAGTCCATAGGATCGCAAAGAATGAGAAATGACTGAAGCACGGCCCAGCAACAAGGTTATTTTCTTAGTTTTGATATATGTTCTATGCTTATATTAGATGTTAATATAAAGGCAAGCTGGGTAAAATGCTTGCAGAAATCCGTGTTCTTCTTGCATCTCTTCTATCAATCTAAAATTATCTCAAAATTTTAAAACTAACAATTGCCATTTAAATTTTTCATCAGTGTAGCAGTCTTCTGAATTTTTATGGGGTTTATTCACCCTCTGGAAAGCTTGTATCTCATCAAGACATCCAGGTTACTTGCATTTCTTGCTTGTCAGGTCCACGCAACATGGTATTTCACTATGATGGACTAATGTGATGTTCTGTGGAATGGCCAGATGGCCTGGGTCCCTTTGGAATGTATTATGACAGAAAGCAGGAAAATAAACATAGCCCTGGAGCAAGACTATAAAAGTAGAATTGTGTTCTTGCCCATGTGAATGTGATCTTCCTTTGAACATTGTTGTGGTTTACTACTTGGTTGGGGCAGAGGTGACACAGTTCCAGGGGCTTTACTTGGCTTTTCCTATTACAATAGCTCTCACTCTACAGACTATTGGTCTAAGGACCGATGTGAGGATCCTGGCAACTACTAAGTGCATCCATTCCAATCATACATTTGGGAATCAAGGAAACGACCACCAGTTTGATAAAAGGAGCCAGTGAGCCCACTCTGAGACAGGCCTGGGTGAAGTCTCCATTTATTATCTGATTCCAATATGCTCTTCCTCTAACAGGAGGGCCTGATGGTGCTTTGGACTCTTGGGTATCCTCATCAACTTAGACCGTGTATCCAACATCCCTCAAAATATTAGATTAGTCCTCTTTCCTATCCAAGGAAATAACCATAAATCACTTTGGAGAAGAACTGAAAAAAGTCTGTACACACTTGCCCTGGTATTCCAGATTCTTTCTCATAGACACGTAGTCTTTCCTTTGGTTCATGCATTCTAGGTTTGAGTACAGGCTCAGGTCTTTAAATCAGGCAAGTTATTAT